TTTTGAACTCCAAGGCCAAACTTACCTGTTGTGCCTTTTATCTCGACTCCTTACTTTATCATTCCAGTCCCCTATAATTAGAAGAACATCTTTTTTGGGTGTCATTTCTAGAAGGTGTTGTAAATCTTCATAGAATTGGTCAATTTCAGCCTCTTCAGCATCAGTGGTTGGTGCATAAACTTGGATTACTGTCATGTTGAAAGATCTGCCTTGAGTTCATATTGAAATCATTCTATAATTTTTGAGTTTATATCCCAGTACATCTTTTCCCATTCTTTTGTTGACTATGAGGGCTACTCCATTTCTTCTACAGAATTCTTGCCCACAATAGTAGATATGATAATTGTCTGAATTGAATCCGCCCATTCCTGTCCATTTTAGTTCACTGACACCCAGGATGTCAATGTTTATTCTTGCCATCTCCTGTTTAACCACATCTAGCTTACTAAGATTCATAGATTTTCCATTCCAGGTCCCTGTGCAGTATTTTCCTTTGCAGCATCAGACTTTCCTTTCACTTCCAGGCGTGCCCACAGCTGAGCGTCCTTTCGGCTTTGGCCCAACCACTTCATTAGCTGTGGAGCGTCCAACATGCTACTGAGGAAGAGTCCTCCACTCTTCCTCAGTAGCATGTTGGATGCCTTCCGACCTGAGGGGTTCATCTTCCAGCGTCATATCTTTTAGCCTTTTGTTTCTGTCCATGGAGATTTCTTGGCAAAGATACTGGAGTGGTTTTGCCAGTTCCTGCTCCAGGTGGATCGTGTTTAGTCAGAACTCTCCACTATGACCTGTCCGTCTTGGGTATCCCTGCCCGGCATAGCCCATAGCTTCTCTGAATTACTCAAGCCCCTTCGCCAGGACAAGACAGCAATCCGTGAAGGGGGCTATATACATAGTCAGACTAGTAGTGATGAAGAATGAGATTTGAAAGTTCTATTCCTGGCTCTCAGATACACTGTTGAGCATTTTCCTGTATTACTGACTTAAAGTGCTTACATGTAGTAACAGAACTTGCCCTGTTTTTGGTTGCCATATAGAACACAGTTTGGTATATAAGCCATATCGGTAGGCAGAATGTGGCAGTCACTGTAGCTGGCAGGTGCTAAGGACCATATAGTAGTGATAGAACATTGAAAGGAAGTGCTCTGGCTGCCATATAAACTCCCTTGTTTCCCCTGTTTGCATGTACAGTCCCATCAACAAGTAACAAGTTAAGTTCTGGACACCACCATTTAAGAATAAATGTGTCCAGAGGAGACCTATCAGGATGAAGAAAGGTCTGGAAACCAAGCTCTGTTAAGAATGGTTGAGCTAATTGGGCATGTTGAGCCTAGAGAAGGGAAAACTGAGTGCTGTCTTCAAATATTTGAAGTACTGTCAGGTGGAATAGGGAGCAAACTTGTTTTGTCCCAGCTACAGGGCATCGGACTCAAAGCAATGAATCCAAACTACAAAAAAGGCTATTGTGACATAATGTTGGGAAGATCTTCCTGACAGTTAAGATCTGTTTGACAGTGGAACAGTCTGCCTCTAGAGGTTTTTCATCGGAAGTTAGGCAACCACCTGTCAGGGTTGCTTTAACAGTGGATTTCCTGCTTCTGCAAGGAGCTGGGCTCCATGGCCCTTGGGCTTCCCGTTCAGCACTACAGCTTTAGAATTCTAATACTCAAGTCCCAGTTCAGATGTGATCATTATGTGGGGATGGGGGAATTATGTATTCTTTGCCTCAGGAAGCAAATATCATAGGTTGATCCTGCAAATAACATGCCAAACAGTTATGTGAAGCTTAAATTACAGTGGTGCCTCGCACAACGGGCACCTCGTAGAGCGATGAATTTGCTCTACGAGGCCGTTTTTGCGATTGCAAAACGATGCCCGTATAGGCGGTGATTCACAGAGCAAAGGTTTTTATGTTTGAGATATAATTAATGAATTTTTGAATTGGGAATAGCTGTTGCCTAAAGTTTTTTCCGAACACCGTAGGAGAGTAACAGAACACTGACACATGTGGATGGTTAGGCTGCTGCTTTACTTCTTGTTTTCTCTGATACTTGAAAGACCCCCTCTCAGACCAGAAACGTGTGGTCTTGACCATGGAGTTCAAGGGTATATACATGATGACTGCCTTGAAGAGCAGCTCCTTCTTTTATTTTATTTGGTAGTAGAAGAGGAAAACCCCTTCGGTTATTTCGTTTGAGACAGTTTTTGAAGAAGTAGCTGTGTTAGTCTGTGTAAGTGTATAAGAGCAGGAGGAGGAGAAAGAAAAAGAGAGAAAATGTTGTGATCCCTTAAAGACTATATTATAGCGTGAGCCTTGTGGATCACATCCACTTCCTCAGACATTAAACATCTCTTGGTTTGGGATGTTTTCCTTTTTGATCAGAGCAAATACGCATGTTAAGGTATCTTGCAAACAAACAGGGAGAGAGAATTACATGAATGTGTATGGTTGTGGTGTGGAACTGTTATCTTCTAGCATGGAGATCCGCCTCAAATAGGCTCATGTTCAGGTTGCTTTGGACCTTCTTCCTCCACACCTATCACTAACAAGAAGATTATTAGCCCAAGAAGTCTGCCCGTCCCAGCCATTCTGTCACCCACTTTATCTCTATTTCAGAGTTTAGTCCAGGAGAAATTATCAGTCCACATCCAAGAATGCTGAGAAGAGATCAGACCATCAACCTACTTAGTTACCAGGAGATATTTCCAGAGGCCTCTGTCTATATATATGTTTGTTTATGGGATGGGTTGTGTTGTTTGAACATCTGTCCTAGGCAGAAAACTGTCTCTAAATTTGCCATTTATCATCTTGTCATTATCTTAACTGGAAGGTAAGATGGCTAGAAAGGGCACAGAGGCTGCAGTCCCTTCCAGCAGGGAATCAAGTACAGTTATCATGTTATGGAAGCATACCAGATCTGCATGAGAGACTCCTCTCTCTCTCTGTCTCTCTCTCTCTCTCTCTGTCAGCTGTTAAACATTACGAAGTTGTGTTTCAGGAGGTGGGGGGGAAGTGAAATTAGTCCAGCCATGGTTCACTTTGATTTCGTCGAGCCTTTGCCCTCCTGCCCTACCAGTCCCAGTGAGCACTAGCTTATCTCACATACTGTACATGTTTTGTTGCTTAGAAATGAAATTCCTGTGCTGTATGTAATAGCTGTTGAGATTCAAACACAGTGATGTTGCTTCAAATAAAGAGAGAGATTCGAACACATGATTTTGTTTCTAGGACAAAGAAACCATCCCTTCTCTTAGGAGGAACACCTAGTATGCAATGTAGGATACAAAATTTGCAGCTTCGGGCTTTTGTTTTACTTTGCTCTCAAAGACCATAATCAGGATGCAACATTTTAGTTCTCCCGTTACGTTTTTATTGCACAGTTGAGACAGAACTAAACTCACAAGGTAGGCATACTTTAATGTCCTCACTTGAAGAATTTTAAACAGTGCCCCTGAGTTTAAGCCACTTGCCATGTACAGGATTGTTAAAGGACAACTGTCCCAGTAAATCTGATGCTTTATGCCAGTGGGATAATTTTTACCCCAGCCATTATAATGTAGAAGGACAAAAAAAAGAGGTCTCATACTGTTCTTTGTTTTTGTTTTTGTGAACCAGGATGCAGACATAACATTTTCTGATTGTTAGTACAAAAATCATTATGTTCAATCTTTCTATTTGAAGCAAAATCATGGTGTTAGTTGTTCCCATTCAAAGTGAGAGCAACTGTAGTTTTCAGTGGGTTAAGGAAATACAGTGGTGCCTTGCTTTACGATTGTCCCGCATTATGACAAAACCGCATTACAACTATCTTTTTTGCGTTCGCAGTTGCGATTGCAAAACGATGGTCTAAATGGGTTTTTTTCACTTTGCGATGATCGGTTCCCTGCTTCGGGAACCGATTCTTTGCAGAACGGGGTTTTTTAAACAGCTGATCTGTGGTTTCAAAATGGCCACCGGGTAAACAAAATGGATCCCCGCTGTTTTCTGGGACGGATTGCTTGCAAGACAGGCAGCGAAAATGGCTGCCCTATGGAGGATCTTCGCTGGATGGTGAGTTTTGACCCCATTGGAACGCATTGAAGGGGTTTCAATGGGTTTTTTTCGCATTACGATGTTTTCGCTTAACGGCGATTTTCCTGGAACGGGTTATTGTCGTTAAGTGAGGCACCACTGTACAAGTTACATAAATCTAGATCTAACCCTATTGCTAACTCTCAACATACTAGAATTCTTGTGAATTCAGAAAATATGTCGCCACAAATTCAATACAAAATATTCTGCTATTTTCATTTCTTTAAATGCTGATGGATGAGTGTTAACTGACATACTTTCCAGGAACTGTGTGTCTTCTTTTGGATCTCATGTTGTTACTCTACCAGTGAATATATATAAAAGAGCTTTGTGTTTCTTTGGAATCACCAAGTGGGGGGAATCTAGTAAAATTGGCAAAAAGATTCATGGGGAATACACTGCTGGAGTCCTTGAGAAACGTGTCTTGATATCCCCCCACAAAACTCTGGGTTATCTAAATGTGTGCGTGCGTGTGTGGAACAAGGAGTAATTTTTTAAAATCTTGCCTTGTTACAAAATTAGAAACATTTAAAAAGCAATGAACTTACATAGGCATCAGCTAATCTTTACTTTTCCCCACACTACATGGATGTCTGGAAAACTACACCAAGAGTGAAACAATGGTTTATTCTCATCCTCCAAAGAGAGATGGAGCATTTAAGCAACTTATACCTTGATATCCAGATGAACGGTAGTATGATTGGAAAAGGTTATCTGATTTCACACTCAAATTAACCCTTTCAGGTTAATTTCATGAGTGCCATCTGTAATGGACTACCACAGACTCAAATTACCAAGGGGTGTTATAAATCTTATAGTACTCTGAGGACTTTGAGTGTCATACATTTGACCTTGATAAATTTCCAATTGGAAAAATGCTAAGATTTGTTTTTCGATGCTGAAAATATTTACATTGCAGATAAAACTGTGATCACTATCGTATATCTGACTCAAATATTTTATAGCCATTCCAAAAATGTTTTCCAACATTCTTCTCATGGGTCTGCATATAAACATGCTGAGTTTATATGCATTGTGCTTTTTTCCTACCTCACATTACAATGGCTGAAATACAGTAATAAATCACAACTACAGTAGGCCCATTGAATCACTGGGGATTTTGTGGGACAACATCTGTGTATGTTCCACTGATTCAGTGGGCTTACTCTAGTTGCAATTTACTACTGCATTTCAGCCAATGAGTTACTTTAGAACTCTGATCTCTTCTCAAGATCATATTTAAAATTGTAGTTTAAATAATGACACACATTTAGCTTATATATCTAGTGATAATGTATTCTTTGAAACTTCCATTCCTTGAAACATAGTACTGTAACAAACTGTATTGCAATTCATTGAAAATCTCTTGTCACTTTAAAAAAATCTTCATAGTTGCCTTGACAAACGTAGAAGGTGTGTACTATTGTCTCATGGTGTTCTACAAAATGATGTGTGTTTCTTTTAGGCATCTTTGTCAGAAAGTGAGGATTCACAAGATTCCTCGGATAGCATAGACTCTTCACAGAAAGCTAGAGGTATTCTAGCACGCCGTCCATCTTATAGGTCAGTAATGTATATGTAACAGTCACTTTGCAGTAATGGACAGGTGTTCTTACCAGTTTTACCTCATATGGCATCTATTACCCGTTTTACCTCAGTCACTCCTGCTCTCCCCTCTCTAGGTTAAACAACTATAAAGGAGGTGTCGCAAGACTCGCCTTGCAAACCTTGCTTATTCACAAATTTTATTCAAGGTTCTTTTTTTAATCTTTAAAGCCTAAATGATCTGTGACTAGATTGTTTCAGCAATTTTGTGCTTTTATGTAAGCCAGATGGATTATTTTATTCTCCCTCTGTGGCACTGCTTTATGCCTCATCATCATCATCAGAATTTCATTTTGTGAGTAGGTATCAAACAAAGCCTTTTCAGTGATGATGTCCAGTATTTGGAATAGCTACCCATGTGAAGTCATCTTGGCTCAATCATAGCTTATGTTTAGATGGTCAGTGAAGACTGCTTATGTGAGTTTTCCTAAATTTTGGAGAATACCTTCCTTGGACAGTTTTCTTGAGCTTACTTCCTCCCCCCCTTTTTTTTTGGTTTAGTAGATCAAAATTGCTGTTTTTATTTCTCATGCATGTTGTCTCTATCTTTTGTTGTAAGCCCTTTTAAATATTTTATAGAAAAAGAAATGATACATTCTGATCATTATTTATTAAATAAATAATGTGTAGTGTGCCTTCCCCCCATGGATTTTAGTTCTGTCTATTTTGAAAAGCCGCCCAGAGTGGTCGAATAGACCAGATGGGCGGGATATAAATCAAATATATAAATAAAATAAATAAAATAAATTGATACATGGAATTATCTGCGGGAGTAGTATTTGTACTATGTCTGTATCTATATTTATTTATTGGCATAGCTTTTTCATTAAACAATTAAATTTTAAAACATTACTTTACATAACAAGTGATTATCATTAAGTGTGTTGCTTATATACCACTCCATAGCATTTAAGGCACTCTCTGGGCAGTTACAATTTAATTATCCAGGCTACACATTGCCCACCCCCCAAGTGAATTGGGTACTCCATTTATCAACCTTGGAAGGACAAAAGGCTGAATCAACCTTGTGCTGGCTACCTAATTCCATTGGGATTGAACTTAGATCATGAGTATTGACTGCAGTACTGCAGTTTCAACCACTGCAGCATGAGGCTCCTATTACTATTCTCCAGAAATATCCTCATACAGTATCAGTATTATAATAGATACAATAAAGTACTGTATTACACAGCGTACCTATTCAGTTGCTTAAGACATCCTTCCACAGTGATCTCTATTAACAAAAGGAGGGGCAGGGAATCTTCAAACCTCCTGCCATATGAAGATCAAATATGGAAACTATAGCTGAAATAGAATAGAAAATTGCAACTGGAGTTGGCCCATTGAATCACTGGAATGTACAGAGGAGTTAACTCATCAAACCCTCACTGATTGACACACTAGTTGTGACATACTACTGATTCTCAGCCTTGATCTATATAAAATTGACTAGCTTGGTTAAATTCACCTCTCATGGTGAATGGGTTTCTCAGCTAATGACACCTGCCAACCCTGTTGTGCCACCTTTGGTGTGCATATATGACTTAATTTCCATAATTTTGCTACCTCTGAATGTGCTGCTATAAAAGAGAGAGGGTAATTTTGTATGGCATAGCTACTTGTTGCATTATTTATTCATTTAATCAGTTTTCTCTCTCTTTCTTTCTCAAAAAAATTATATGTTTTATATGTTTATATAGAACTGCTGGATAGCTCAGTGGCTGTGGAGCCAGAGGTTGGGAGTTCGATTCCCTTCTATGCCTCCTTTACAAGGACGGGATGATGATCCATAGGGTCCCTTCCAGCTCTGCAGTTCTCAGATGATGATGATGATTGGCTAAGAGAGAGTGACTGGCCCAAGGTAGCACAGAGAGTGCCATGGCTCTCTGAACACGAAAACCCCAGTCTTGCAAGTCCTAGTTCACCATTCTAACCACTGTCCTCAAAAAGGGTTGCTGCAGTTTCTTGATGTGTCGTGTCTGAAATTTCTTAAAAGATGTTTGATCAAAATGCTATTGAACACACTGTGTATGTGTGTATACACAAACATATACACACACACACACACACACACACACACACACACACACACACACACACACACACACACTCAAGCTTAAGCAGTGGTCCTTTAATTGAGGCTGATACAGTTCTGAATGGTCATGTAGGTCACATCAGTTCCCTAAAAATTTGCAGTATTTTCTCCCAAACTTTCTTTAACCCCCCGCCCCGAATCCCCATGTACTTTTGCTGCACATATAAGATAGTGTCTGTTTCATAGCTTCCTTCAATTGTATACAGTAGGATTGCAGTATCCACAGAGGATCAGTTTGCAGCCCGCCCACCCCCCGCATGCAGGAAACCAAGGATAATAGTGAAACCTATTAGAGATGGGGGTATTCGTGTGCAAATATCCCCACACAACTGGACTTAACAAGAGTCTGGCCCCTGGGACCGGGCCGTCCACTCACGCATCCTGTTGTGGCAGTGACACCCCCCCATCTTTCCAGTCGCGCCTGGGCTGCCTCTCCCCACTCGGCTGGCCACTCCAGGCAGGGGGAGGGAGGACGAGTCTCCCTGCCCGGCTGCCGAGTGTCCAGCCAAGAGAGCGGCAGCCCAGATGCAACTGGAAGGACGAGCAGGATCAGCGCTGCAGTAGACCCTGGGGCCAGTCTGTCATTAAGTCCAGCTGTGTGGACTTAACCGTATATATAGACACAGTCTCTGGTTCCCTCTAGTAGTCAGTCCTGGTAATACACCTTAGAAACACATCATTTCGGGGTGTGTGTGGATATTTAATAGATAAGAAACTGCAGATATTGATGCTGTGGATAGAGGGTGTCCTACTGTGTAGAGGTTTTAATCAGTATGATAGGCCTCTGAACATGTACAGAGGTGCAACATTGTTGTGCTGTTCTGGTCTATAATGTAGGTATGCTGTTTACTTTTTTTCATAGCTATTCCAATATTTATCCTTCGTTATTGGTCTTCAATTTTCAAATGCGTCCCTTAACTTTGAAATGCTCCTGATTCCAAATATTACATGTTCCATATTTGCTTTAAATGTGCAAAAAGACAGTAGAGAAGAGGTGGTTGGAGTGAAAGAGTTATGCACTTAATTCTATCCTCTTTTTGGAAATGACATTTTCCAGCAACATGTGCCTCATCTCTTTTGTTATTTTTTACAGGAAAATTTTGAATGATCTTTCTTCTGAAGGTACACGAGATAGGAAAGGAGATGAAGCAAATCCTGGTGACTCTGCTATCGCCACTATGCCTGTCACTACACCTGTTTACCAAACCAGCACTGGACAATATAGTATGTACCATTAATAAATGTGTGCACTGAACATTCTGCAACTGACTGGAATTGGATGTAAAGTTAAATGTGCTGTTAATCTCAGGCCAGGCCAAAATATTTTGCTGCCTGTTGCAAAGCTACAAATGGTGCTGCCTGCTTAGTCAAGGTGAATATTATTCAAGGTTAGCCAAGTTACTTCAGCACAGGAGGGGAAAATGCCACAAATACCTCCCCGTACTCTGGCAGTAGGGTTGTAAGAATGACAAATTAAAGACTAATTGTCTACCCTTACTCTTCGTCATGGGAGGGCCGCCCCTGTATTGGTCTCAAAATACTGCTATTTTGGTCCCTCTGGAACTGTTTCTTTTTCTTTCTGGGAATTATTTCTCTTTCCTTCTCATGCTAAAAAAATCTTCAATCCATCAATCTAGCACTGGAAGGAAGAGAATGTTTGTATTCATTATATTTGGCAAGGGAAGGTGTAAATTTCAAAATGAATTAAGTTGTTCATAGGCAAGGGAATGTGTTTAGTACAAGATTCCTTCAGCAGCTGCGCAAGGAGGAAGAGCGTGTTCTTTGTGATGTAAAGATTGCTGTGCATCTCCCCTGATTTGTTCTTTCTTACCTCAAAGTTGCCATTGCCCCGAACGGACCATTACAGCTGAGCAGCCCAGGTGCAGAGGGAGTGCAGGGTTTGCAGACGTTTACAAATGCTGGTGGGACTCCCCTGTTGCAGTATGTCCAGACATCTGATGGCCAACAGATACTTGTGCCAAGCAACCAGGTGGTAGTGCAGAGTAAGTATCCCCTTCAAGGAATTCAGAATCGTTAGCATCTTCTCTGTGCATTTTTGAGTTTCTAAAGGTTGGTTCTTATTTCACTTTTTATACTCTGGTACCAGTTTTTTCCCCCACTACAGGATAACTCCAATATTGGATTCTGATTCCTACGATTTCCTCTTACATAGAGGCTATTTGGCTATACGTAATCAGCACCCTTCAAACTACATGCATGGTAGTTTTTTGGGTTGTTGCTTTTTTTAAATACTTCTGACTTCAATGGTGATTCAGAAAATGTTGAGAAACGTTTTTATGCTGGCATTTTCTAGCACAGTTCAAATTAATTTCCAGTATTGCCATGGCTTATACTCTGTTTTTCTGCAACATTAGTGTTTCAGATTTGTTTACTGTATATGTCTGCATTTTTTAGGGTCTGATTTGAATCTTGTAATTAGACTTAAAAATAAAATGAACTTGTGGACTGTGGCATACACCTACAAACCATTTGTGTTTGTAATATTCGCATGCATAGGCAGGAACTGGGGTGATAGCCTCATACTACATGTGTCACAGCTGAGGACAATTTTCAAAGGAAAGCTGGCTGTGTGAAGTATTGCATATATAAAGGTGCTTTTTATGTGTGTCAGGTTTTTTGTTTGCTTCCTTATTCGCTTGGGAAATATCACTTTTAAACTGGACGTAAGACACTGCTTAAAAAGCAGCCAGCTACAGTGAATTATGAATTATTGGTTGAAATCCTATTGCTTAGCATAGTTAAGTCACACTAGAGTAGGCCCATTGAATCAGTGGGGTGAGTCAACTCCTCTTTAAGTGCCATTGAGTCAAATGGGCCTGCTCTAGTAACTCATAACCAGAGTAAGTTGCAATTAACTTAGTTCCACTTTAACCAATGGAACGTTTGGGGTAGTTGACTCACCAGATTCTTTCTACATGTACTGATATACTCTACACATGCTGATTCAATAGGCCTACTCTAGTGCAACTTACTACAATAAGCAACAGGATTTCAGCTAGTATTTTACAGTTACAAGTATGTATTTTGTTATTACTTTAAGCTGTTTTGTCACAGTAGATTCTGAAGGGAAAGAACCAAAAAACAGTTCTAAAACCAATATCCAATCTATACATGCATGCTTGGTATTTCTGTGTCTTTGCCTCAGTACAAAATATAAAATGACTATCTTTCTGAAGAGTTCTTCCATTACTGTGTTTTTTACCCTGGTTCTTCAACAGCTGCATCAGGTGATATGCAGACATATCAGATACGCAGTACACCGACCACCTCTTCCCTCCCACAGACTGTTGTTATGACGTCTCCGGTCTCCTTGACATCCCAGTCAACGAAAACAGATGATCCACAATTGAAACGGGAAATTCGACTGATGAAGAACAGGTATTTATTTTCTCAGTTGCTGCTAGAGTTAGCCAGATGATTTTACTTTTAATTTAACTTGTGGCTACAGATATATTAGCATTAGAGTTATGTAATTTGTTTTACTTTTATTATGTTTCATATTTTCCCTTCCAATTAAATGGTTAGTTAAACACTGCCCCCTACACTTGACTCTCTTCGTTATATTAGCATTTTGTTTAGCAACATTGTCTAAGAAAAAAAACATGAAAGGGGTTTTTATTTAAACAAAAGGGATTTTTCTTTTAATATTTTTAATATTTTCAGAACATGAATAAGTGCATCAGTGGATACTGATCTTACAGATAAAGGTGTCCTATTGTACTACACACAAACATAATTAAAATATTTACTCTAATCATTGAAATGATCATGGCAGCTATCACCTCAAGACAAACCTTAGTTACGATAGAAAAGTGGACAACGTTACTGTTCCCAAACTACTTTTACTTCTATGTGGAAATTCATAAAATTTTGCTTTTGCATTTCAGAGAAGCAGCTCGGGAATGCCGTAGAAAGAAGAAAGAATATGTCAAATGTCTTGAAAATCGAGTTGCTGTTCTTGAAAACCAGAACAAAACTTTAATTGAAGAACTAAAAACATTGAAAGATCTTTATTGCCATAAAAATGTGTAAGGAAAAGAAAACATACTTTTCAGAAATATCAGAATTCTGGTGGGAATCTTTCACATCAACATTTACAAAATTAAAGTGAAAGCTCAAAAATGCATCTCTTCTCAAATTCTACAATTTAAAAAAGACAGCAAAGATTTCATTTAGGACATGCTTGTTGGTATTGTACAAAAAGGAGGCATGAAGAGTTCCACCCGCACAACTGGAATCGTACGTTTAATCAGGAGAAATGGACATGTATGTTCTGTCAATCAAGAATGGAGCTTCTTGAACTGCAGTTGGATATTTAAATGCTTAACACTCAATTGCAGTTCATTGCAAAACAGCTGAATCTTTTGCCTTAAGCTGTAAATTTCTATCAACGTATTTAACCAGCATAGTTTCAAATTTGTTAAATCTTTGATATACAGTTTTCTTAAGCACCCTTCACTTTAGGGCTCTTCTCGGCAAGGTAGATGCACAGGTGACCACAGATTTGGCCCTCAACCATCCACATGTTGAATTGTACAACTGCAGTGTGAATCCATGTATGACAGCAAATGCTGTATCCACGTGCCTAGAAATCCTGTTTGCTCAAGGCCTTGCTTGCATGGAGCCCAGCTCCCTCTAGCTATGCTGCTTTTGATCACCTGTGTGGTCAGGTTACGCAAAGCAAAGACTCTTAAAGTAAGAGGGATTTTCAGTTATTTGTATGTAAATATTTTTGCTTCAAATTGTAAATTTTAATTTGTGTGTTGAGAAGATAAAGGCCACTACTTCACTAGATATTTGCTTTTAACAGACAATTTAATTTGCTTTAAAAGTGCATTACATTTATCAGTGTTGGTAAAGGCAGAGACACATGGATATGATCATGAAAAATTCTTGAAGAGTAGATGATGTATCAGTACTGATACCAATGTTTTGATACTTTTATATGACAAGTGTTTCTGGATGTTCAAAGGGTTATTTGTGTTTGTCTGATCACTGGATAGAAAAAAAATCTTTTCAGATAAACATAAATGATTGTTTCAAGAGAGCCAGTGTTACACGTTGTTTGAAGAGCCTGCTCTAGTTGCATAGAAATTCTAAATTCTTAAGCTCAGCCCCTCTTTTAAACAAAAATGAAGTTAAAATTACATACCAAAGGTAAAATCTAGTGTTTCTAATTTATATATATATAGTTACTAAATTACAAGACTGCATTTGTAAACTATTTGTTGATCAAATTTGTTGAAATTCCAGATTTTATAAGGAAGTAATCCAGTTGAATTAGACAGCCTGATATATTTTTTATAAGTGAAATATTACCTCTAGAAATTCTATAATTCAGTTTTTATGGGTATTTTATATGTTTATACAGTTTTAGTAAACATATTTTCCCTCTCTCTGATATAAAAGCTTATATTTTTATGAGGTGCTCAAGAAAATTAAGATCTATTTCTATACATTTGGCATAATTTTAAAAGAAAATCAAGAATATTTTTGAGAAAGTTGTTTAGCATTGTTCACAGAAAAATGAATGACTAATTGCATTCACTATAAAATATGAGGGATAATGATAATCTATTTGTTTCTAGTTTTCCACAAATCTTAAAGGTTTTTTTGATACCTGCTAGATTCTTAAGTACACAATTAAGATTAAATCAACAAATGTAGCCTTATTTTTGTTAATACCGAATCATTCCAATTGTGCCCTTCAAATGTTGCCATTTAATATATTTAAATAAGATATTAAGGGCGAGAATATATGTATTTGTTGTGATAGTGCAGCCTTGTTACATATACTGGACAGTTTTGAGATTATTGTGAGATTATTTTGGAAATTACATCATTCCACAGCAAATCTGATTAAATCATTCTTTCTCATACTGAATTTGTTGTCACATTCCTTGGAGTTGAGTAACAAAATGGTGCTTCCCAGATACAGTAATTTCTGGATACGCTTAAGCTTTCTCCAATGTACATGAAGATCTCTGCAATCTACAAGCATGTTTGTTGGTGAGAGCCACAGAATACCAAATTTATTCTCTCCACAAATTTGTCTCTGTGAAGTGATTTAATAAACGAAGCCAAAGCACCGAGTTTGGAAGACCTGAGCAGGACTGGTAATGACAGACTCTCCTGTAGGTCAGTAATTTATAGTAGCACCAAAAATCAGAAACAAATTGTCAGCTCCCTCCCCCAGCAAATTTACTGAGCTCAATGAAGCTTTAATAATACAGTCTCCAAGAGGCGAAGGGCGCATGTATTTCCCATTCTTTATTTTTAAGTCCCAAGCCCTATATGCTGCAAATGTTACATGTTTTGACCACTGTGGAGCTATTCAGCACTCTGCATGGTCTAAAGCATGTTGACAGGAGTGAAATTAGGGTGAGCAAGGGGGGGGATACATATTTCCTATTCTCATTTTCCCCCTATGACTTGGGGATATAGTGGTAATCTTCCACTCTCCCAGTGACATACTGTGCTGATCAGGGCTGGGCAAGCAACTTCCTGTTTATCTGATCACAGCAAACAACACAACAAGACAATGGTACCTTACTGCTGGACTGCCAGCATTCTGGCCTACGAGACAGGGAGATGACTGATTTGGTACCACAGTACAGCAGTCCTGCACTGTGGTGTGTGTATCTTTCTAATTATTTATATATCACCACCCCAGCCACAAAGGGAACTCCCAGGGTGTGAGTGGGGTGCTGATTATTGAACTATAATTAACCTCAGTCCAGGGATGGGGACTCGTGACTCGGTGTCAAGTCTGACTTAAGTTGCACCAGCAACCTCACACTCAACTTGGTTGCTTTTTTTAAAAAAAAGACTTGGACTCAACCTATTTTTCCAAGTTGCCTTTTCAAGTCCCTAGCCCACACACTCTCCCTCTCCCTCCCTCCTTCCTGGCAATCAATAAACAATACTTGTGGGAGAAGCGCTGGGAAGGACACAGAGGAACACACTCCCACGGTTGCCCTCCTTGCTCCCTAGCCCCTCCTAGCAGTTGAGCAAGAGCCTTGCACCCAGACGCATGAACACCGGAGGCCTCCACAGCAGTTGCCAAGGGACACACAAATCCAAGCTGGCAGCCACTGTTGTTGGCACTATCACCAGTGGCCGTTCCTGCCCAGCTGGGGCAGGGAGGAGCAACGGGGCCAACATGGAAGTGGACATAGATGATAAGGGGAGAAAGGGGATGGTAGTGGTCATGGGAGGGGGGAATTTTCATTTGAATTTCTAGGTTTCTTCTGGCAGGTTGCGTGGGAAAGGGGGAGCACGCATACCCAGGGACTGGTTCAGTTGAAAGACTGCCTGCCTATCCTGCTTTCTCTCTCTCTTTCTCCCCCCCCCCCGGAAAA